TAACTTCTGCAATTTAGTGACGTCAAAAGAAGAATTGGTTGAAAAAGTATTTCCCAATATTCAAACCAATTATAAGAATCACGATTGGCTGAGTGAACGAGCTATTCTTGCAGCCAAGAACAAAGACATCTATGAACTTAACAATATCATTCAGTCTAACATTCACTGCGAGGCAGTCACATACAAGTCCGTCGACACTGTTGTGGAAGCAGATGAAGCGATTAATTATCCAACAAATTTTTTAATTCGCTCGATCTGCCACAGCAATGCGTGGCCGGGTACAGCTAGTATGTATGTATGAAACTTATGGTTCTCTACTGTTACATTAGTTCAGTCAAGGTGGTTATGATGGGCTGAATATGGGACAGATAAAAAGTGCATACAGAATTAGCTGTGGAAACCTACTGGAAGACAGCCACTTGAAAGATTAAAGACAGAAGGATAATATTAATATCAGCCTTGAAGAAATGGGTTATAATGATGTGAACTAGAATAGGCTAATTCAGGATTTAGTGCAATGGCAGGCCAATATTTACCCTTGACTGAAGGATATTTGATATACGTAAGTGGGATATAGTCCTACCCGTCTTTGAGTGTTTCACTGTCATTACAGATTTCTTTTATTAATATTTTAAGATTAGTGGTGACAGATGGAATTTCTTTCTGCTTCTAAAGTAAGAAGCTTTTGGCTTTAAAGTCTAAAAGGCTAAAACCTTGCTTAAATCTAGTTCTGATCAATACAAACAAATTAACCTGCAATGCTCATACTTGAAGAGAAAGGCCAGTATAAGGCACATTCAAAGAAAAGAATAAATATGAAACTTCACTATATGAAAAACTCAGACTTTGTTAATACAGTGGTTACAGCAAGTGAGATCAGAAAATGCTCCAATTAATACACTGTGTTACTGAAGAAAGCAATTGTGGCAACACTCAGGTTGAAAATAAACAATTTAAAATTTGAAACACTGCAGTAAATCATGTTTGGAAATTCTTATTATATATTACTAAATAAGATTTCATGCCTTAAACACTTACTTCAGGGTTCTGTCTTCTAAAACCCCCATTCAAGGTACAAAAAGCTTATACCCCAGACAGATGTTAAATTTAAAATAGTTAAATAGGAGTTTTGTTGTCCCTAAATAAGGCAAAGACCACTTCCTTCGAGATCCTTTCCAACTAATCATTCACCAACCAACCAACCATTCAACACTACATAGTCTGGCTACTGTCAGCATCATTAAATACTCCCCCTAAAAAATATATATATTGTAAAGTGTTTTGACTACTGTGGACGCCGTTCTGATTGTTAATCGGTTTTATTCACTACCTAGAAATTGTAACTACAATTAATTGTAACAGTGTTGCAAGTTTACACAATTTACAAACTCAACACACTAATCTCTTCACTCTGTCTTCAGTAGTCTTCACTTATTTACAGTACAACGCGAGAACTATACAAGTGTCACTGAAATACACACTTCCAGTACTTTCTCAGTTATCACAAACTCTCACTGATTATCACACATAAAATCTTATCATGCATTCAGTTCTTCTTCTTCCTGTGGCTGCTATATTTCAATTGAACTTATAACTTCTTCATGTTCACAATTCACTCGCTACAACTGAACCTGGCGAATGCTAGACTTCAACTCTGCCAATTACTCCAAATACTGGTACCTCATACTCGGTACTGCCTGAATCAAAGTCAAAGTCACATTGCAACTGACGATCAGTCAGTCAGTCAGTCAGTCTGTCTGTCTTGGTGTTGAGCTCTGGCTGGGGTTCATGACCAGAACTGCCTGAATAGTGTTTTCTGCTCCTTATATAGACTCGGCACAGACCACATAGAAAACACATTGCTGCTCGGCAACAGATATCAGGTATTGTTGTCAGGTGTGTCTACACGCACACACTGTCTAACAATAGATGCCCTACTGTTGAGCAACATCACAGCCTAGCGGGGAGGGGTGTTTACAGAGTGTCACACAGCAACGGGATGAGTGGGGGTATGTGATGTCACTTGCACTACCTGTTGCGTCATCCAAGGGTTCACAGAGTTGTCACCTAGCAACGCGCCAATAAAATCTGCAACTTTCACGTCGCGTGCGTGCCCCAAGGCCTCTCTGGCTCAACAGTTCCTGCATAGAGCAAATATGCCACAATATATATATTCAACATCATCACGGGCAAAACAGCACTTTTTGAGCCATAATCTTCCTCAGAAAATTCTGCCAGATTTGATCTGGTTTTTAACTTCTCTGGATTTCGCAACAGTAACTTTTTCAAAGAACAAGCTCATCAGCCTTGTGTTCAACCCACCTCTTAGGACCAGGTCCCTGCATTTATGTCTTCCAGCAACAGGGTGGCCCAGTTATAACCCCAGGCAATGGGTTCCCTTTTCATTGCCTTCTACAAGTCGTAGGGCTACAGTGGAGGCATTCTAACCTACCTCCACACAGAGACAAAAATATATTAGAGAGGTTTAATTATGTTACATGAAGGAAACTGAGATTCATTCTTCCTATTTTTTTATTTAAGGAAAAGTAACAGGAAGGATGAAGGAAAGCAAGTAGTAAGGAGTGAAGCGGTTGGGTTGACTTCAGTTCAGTTTATTTATGTCATAAGTTACAAACATTAGTAGACAACTTTGGCTTAAAAATTTACATAACTTTAATTTTACATCATTCTCTATGTACATTAAAATATTCATCTATAGAGTAGAAGGAATGAGCATGTCCACAATTCTTTAGCACTAATTTAAACTGTTTCCTATCATTACTCAAGTTTTTTATATTTTTGGGCAGATTATTAAACACTTTTATGCCAGTAAAGTAGACTCCTTTTTGATACAGTGATAAGTTCAATGAAAGTAGGGCTAAAGTAAATGTTTTAAGAACAGAAATAGGGTAAAATAACCAACTGTTATTTGAAGCATGAGGTAACATTACTGGATATATGGAATATGCAGATAACACAATAAATGCTTGAGATTAGGAGAAACAGGAAAGGATGAAAACAGCTGATGACAGCACTTCATAATGAAAGTGAATAGTAATATAGAGACTTCATGGACACAGCCTTGGAAAATGATCTACAATAGTGAGCAATAACAACTCTGACCTCCCGTGGAATGACAGAATAGTGCTGTAGAAACATTTACTTTTGACAAGTACAAATAAGCAACACTGTACTTACCTCAAGTTTAGCAGCTGTGGTCAAAAAGTAAACATTGCTAGGGAATTCCTTTATGGCCCTTTGCAGCACTTCTCGCAGAACGGAATATGTGCCAGGAGCTTCACTGCAGTGATGATGCAACATGTCAACATAGTTCTCAAACAATGCCTCCCTGCGACAACTCATCCTGCAACAGTGACAATACATGTTAGCGATAATATAGATATCACCACAAACTTCAAAGTTGCAGTACTTCCTTTCATAAATTAAAAGGTAAAGTTGTCCCTATGCCTAAGCACCATGCCATGAAAGCAGATGTGGAGCATGAAGTAAAACCTCAATTCATTCTTAACCTTGGTGTTAAATATGGGTATGCATCATTCCCTGAAAGCTTCACCCATGTGGAAAGAACCTTCTACATCTACTGGTTAAGAGGACAGATGCTCTTTAGAGTTGGTCTAAAAGAAAATCCCTGATCCTTCCAGGGATGAAACTTCGGTCAAATCATTAGTACAGCCTACTGTGAAGCATTATAGCATTGTTCACTGTTCTTACAAATGTAAAATACAAGCCAACGTGCTAGCTGTGTCATTATCAAAACATCTGTAAATCAGTATTGTAACCATTCAAAATACTTTTCTTAGGCTGAGGTTATTGTTTTGGTCATTGTAGTATTTCATGTTTTGATAATAACTTTCTACTAATCCAACCAGATTCAAAATCCACATCATGTAATCCATAAGCCTAACAGATATACTTTATTATATTTCAGCATCCTGTTACACTCACACAATATATATGGACAAATACCGTCTTCAGTGCAACAATTTTATTGTAGTTTTTACTTCTTTTTCCTCCTCCACACTACCTGTTTCGGCCCTAAATGGCCATCATCAGGTGTGTATCACTCACGTAGCTGTTACACTGCTTGTTAAAATTTAAAATCACCAGTCTTTCTAATTGTATAAAATCTTTGTTAATCTACACGCGTCGATTTGATTTTTGATTTTTAAATTAGCACTTTTTAAGACTTTAATTCAAGTTAAAATGTCTGTAAGATCTCTGTTCTTTCTTTTTCAAATTTTTTAGTTAAATTTTTTTTCTTTTTTTTTTTTNCCATTTAGGGCCGAAACATGTAGTGTGGAGGAGGAAAAAGAAGTAAAAACTACAATAAAATTGTTGCACTTAAGACAGTGTTTGTCCATATATAAAGATATACTTTAACATTTACACAGCTGTGTTTAATTTTGTCTTGTACCATGTTTTGAAGTACTGTACCTTGCATTAAACTCTGTTATGCACAGTGCTTGCATTTGATATTCAGTTACTCCACTTCCCTTCCTATTGATCTTTTGTATGTAAACCAGATAAACTTTTATGAACTGGAGAATAAAAATAAAATCCACTCTCTATGTGTCTGTGTTTTGAGTCAGCTACATTATAAAATAAGCACATAATGGGGAAGTTTCATCTCTGAAATCATTAAACTGAGTCTCCTTAAATTTGGTATCAGAGGCCTACAGTAAAAGGCATCCATCACTGTGATTTGAATTCATCAAATACAATCAATCATTCACATGAAGTTAAAACAAAACAACAGTTTTATTGACATTAATTCAGTATGATAAACTGCCTCTCATTAAGCTCATCACTATTTATTTTAAATAGTATTAAATATGGTGGCTAATATAATTTGATTGAAAAATAATATATCTCACTATAACAGATGCCACTCTGGATTAATTTTTATAAGCCTGCCACAAAAGAGCAAAACTTGGTGGAGGATGATAAAATTAAATAGAAGTTTTGATACTGCTGTCATTAACAAAATTAGGAAACTACCTCCTCCAAAATGTACATACTTATTTTATGTGAGAAGTGCAATGAAAAAGAAGGAAAAAGTATTATACAGTCCATTCTTGATGAGCTCTGGTAATAATACATTTTTATGTTGCTTTATGTTAGCAATTCCTTCTCCATTTTGGCAAAAGAGGGAGGGCAAGAAGAGAGAAATATTAATACTTTTGTTATTTCCAAGTTACAAAACCATCAACTGGGGGAGGAGGAGGAGAAAATGCACTGCTGAAACCTGGCAGGGTTAAATTTTGACAGATAAGTAAAATTGCAAAGAAAACATTTGGAAGATTTATGTATTCTAAAAGGGAGTGAAATGAAACTTATTGATTGGAAGTACTAAACATACATGAAATTACAAAGTATAATATTTTTTTTTATGAGACATCTGCACCCATATTAACTTCCACATACTTACACAGTGACACCAAACACTGAACTTGAGGCTGGCGCTATTTTGGCAAGAACATTCTCAATGACAGCACCACCTGCCCAAGTAGACTGTGTGAGGAAGAGCAGCCATGCATAGCAGCTCATCCAATCCACATAGAAATCTGGCAACAGATGTCCATCAACAGATGCTGTAGCCTCTGCACTGACATCTTCCAGCAGCTCAGCACCTATGTGGTAGAACTTGTCTACTGCAGCTGCTTGCAGCTCCATGGAACATTCTGTTTTTGAGAGAGGTCTACCAAGACTTAGTGCCAACAGAACGGATAGTGCCTTCTGTTTATGTGTGGATGCATCCTCTGGTTTTAACCTTGCACGAGAGAGGTACAGCTCACATAATGTCCGATACAGGGATCCGAGTCCAGATTTCTCCTGTTCATTCAACATGCTCACTACCGGTACGGCGCCTGGTTGTGCAACGATCACTTTAGTGAGGATCTTACAGGCCCCATCATGGTTACCTAGTTCCCACTCTAGTAATGCATACTCTCGATAGAATAATAAATTGTTCCTGTTTTGATCTTGTTTAAGGAACTCTTTCACTGCAGATTTGAGTTTCTTCTTCCTAGATTGTGGCAACCTGGTGATGCCTAATCTGTCAAGTACAAGAAGAAGTCTTTCAAATCGTAGCCACCAAACACAGAATGCAGTTCTTGAAGGTTCTGCCAGACAATCACCACACAACCGAAACACTTTCATAACAAATTCCAGATAATGCTCTTGTCCTAACCTCTGATCAAGATATTGTGGTCCTACAGCAAGTTGAGAAATATCTTTAAATAATCCTATGCATTCTAATTCCACTGTTCCCATTGGGAAGAAAGCTGGAAGAAGCATTTCAACAGCATCCAAGCTCCATGATGTCTGGTGCCTGTTGATGATGCGCAAAGCAGTGTCACGGCAAGGAAGAACTGGTATCTTCAGTAACATAAGTACCACAGTTGCCAGATGAGGAAGAAGAGAAGCTGTGGTGATGGGATGGAGAAAATCCGATACATCATCAGAAAATACCAACCGCTGTGGATCTTCACAATCTTTGTCTGATGCCCAAGGAAGCCAGTGTGCCCCCTCTCGCAGCTGTTCCACCCTCAACCAAAGTTCTGACAGAGGCAATTCTGATGTAAGGATGCATTCCTCTGACTCAGCTAAACAGAGATTTAACACAGTTTTAGCTGAATAAGAAACAAATCCCAACATAAAAGGTATTCCTTAAGCAATTTATATTCATTCAGCTGATCAATACATACCTTATTCTTAAAGGGTCTGATGATTCAACACTGTCACCAAAAAAATACTCAAATTGGAACCTGTCATGAGTCACTTCAATCAAGTTAACATTTTTTTTTTAATATCTATCTTACTAATATCCATTTTAATTTTGTCATCTCATCATAATCAGATATCCAAAGTGTCATGATGTTTCCAAACCTATTTCTCATTTCTCCAGTACATGTCATGGGTCCCAACATCCAATCATTCTTTGTTTTATAACCTATTACTTTCAGCAAATACTGTGAAGATCCTCAATATGTAATATTCTCCTAATATAACAGTTATTCAATAAGTAGATAAACAGTAGGCATGGGACTTCAAATAAATTCAATTTGCTTACATATAATCAGGTATGTCTAAAAAGAAATTGAAAATATGGAACTAAAAAATGGTAATAATTATGGTTAAGGATGTGACATTACAATGAGGATTACCCAAAATCTACATCCATTCTTGATACTAGAAAGCTAGCAAATAAGGTTCAGGCTTGATATTTAGTGTGGCTGTAGTGATAACACTAATAAACATGTCAACTGTAACACTACTTGTGTACAAAGAGGTATTATTAAATGCAAAATGAGCTCTAGACAGTAGCATCCTGCTCCAACTACTCTAAGTACATTTAGATACAAAAAAGCATGCAGACCTTGAATAACCCTCACATATTTGTGCACAGACATGTGTTGACATTAGAAATGTACAGTCTAACATGCTTATTTAAAAAAGCAGCTGTGGCCACATGAAATCTTTGTTGATAGTTGTGGGCTCAAGATATTTCCATTCCATACCCACTGGTCTATAGCCTGATATAAACAATTTCCTTACAACACTGTTCATGAATTTTTATCACTTGAATTTCCATATACAGAGGTTTTACACCACATAAAATTTATTGTGACCAAAAAATACTGTCTGATGGAATAATTAGAAGAGCAAGATTTTTTTTATTGCTAAGTCCCTTGTACTGCGGTCACTTCTGGACTGTTGTACCAGCCCCAGATGATAGGTGAGGGTGATCGTGGAGCAGTTGGTGGAATGAAGATTGGCAGGGGAAACCAAAGTACTTGGAGAAAAAACCTGCCCCAGCGCCACTTTGTCCACCATTAATCCCACTTGACTACACCCGGGATTGAACCTGGGCTGCTGCAGTGGGAAGCCAGCGACTAACCGCTTGAGCTATGGCGCGGCCTAGATGAGCAAGATACTTAGCAAATTTACCCATTCACATAGTTTATGGCTCTGTAATTGTTCTGTGAATTATTTATTTTCAATCTTTTAAATGTGAATATAATCATGTTGCACAAGCTGTTCATTTTCAGTCAAGACAAAATTCTCTGCAAATTCAAATGAACTCCTCAAGTCTAAATAGTGCAATTCATCTAACAAGGTATTAAAACCTTTTACATGTTCAGCTGTAAATGCAACGATGTTTTATTGATTGATTTAAAACCTAACACTATATGTTTCAGGTGTTCTTCAGATACACAATCATTGCCTTGATAAGGCATGCAAACATTTAATATTTAAAATTAAAAATAGTGCAATTGATGTCATCTCTTGGCCATGAGTGAAACAATTTAGAAGTTATAACTGACAAATCAGAGATCTGAAAAAAAAGATCCATCACAGACAGCTGTGTAAGTCAGTTTGTTAATAAAAAAAAAGAATATGACAATTTATCTTACAGTTAATATGTGTAATCACAAATTACAGGTATCTGTATGAACTCATATGAAAATAAGACTTAATTTCCTTACTGACTATCTGCTCTAAAAGTGTAGAGTCAATTTTAAAATGACTGCTGTCTGGTTGTGACAGATTCAGTTCAAGATACATCCTCAGCAACAACCACAGCTGCTCCCACAGGCCAGCTTGGCGAAGAAACAGCCCACAGTCATGTAGCAATGCTGGAATCACAAAAATATTTCAGCACCAGAAAGGGGAAGAATGTCAACAACTACTTATCATATATCAAAACTAAAAAACTGAACTCCATGGCTCGAGTCCACAAGCAAAGTAATACCGACCTAGCGACCACCGCTTGTCAGCAAAGTTAGTGCCAACCTTATCAGATAGAGGATGTCACATGGTCAGTGCAACGAATCCCCAAGGCCATTAAGTTCGATTTTCTAAACCAAAGCCGCTATTTCCTTGATCCTCCCAAAGCTGAGTCGACCCTGTTCCAAACCCACTACTTCTCGGAAAATCTGGTAGCGCTGGGAATTGAACCCGGACCTCTGGATATGTAGGCAGGAACTCTGACCACTACACCACAGAAGCAGTCTACCATATATCATACATTTAAAACTTTAAAATGAAAGATGTACCATTATTTTAAACCAATACTGCCAAATAATTAGAAGACATTAACTAGGTACAATAAAATCCCTAGGCTGTCTTTTGAGGGGGGAGGGGAGACCACTGAATCTGAACATTAAACTGAGGAATATCTTAAATCAAGATAATTTAACAGAGTTCATTATCCTGGAATCTTGAAGATAATCCTTGGCACTTCACTGCACCTATCCATGAACTACCTGTCTTGTCAGAATATCTGTTGCAAAAAACAGAAACAGACTCTTCATTGTGCATCACTATAGTATGATTACATGTATATTTGTTTCAATTTCTGTCATATATTTCATCATCCACTGTTGTTTCCACTAGGGTGGACTGTCTTATGACAAAGACTTCTCCATTTCTATCTTTCTCTTGGATATATCAAATTGTTTCCTACTCTTTTTTCTCTGTCATCTCTTTCTCTTAGTCCCTTCACTTCATCCTTGTTCTCCCAACTGATGCCTGATATGTTCATTTCTAATATAAAAAGAATCCTGCTGCCATCCGTGTATACTATCACACTAGTATCCTTACCATGACAAACACCTATCGAGAATTAAATCACAGAAATGTTTACCAAAAATATGGAGAATAGAAATATCAGCAACTTACTTACCTAGAATCTTCTCCTCAGAAGGTTTTGTCTGGGCAGCTGGAGCTCCCCTCCGGAATTGGTGGAGACGTGCCATTGCCCTGTTGTACAGCTGCATGACAGTAGGCACAGTGCACATGGCCAGGGAGCACTGGGTGGCACTGATGTAACCATGCCACAGTGCCAAGTTACTTGCCTGTTTCTCAAGCATGCCCCCTAACTGACGGGACATGACATCAGATGGAAATATAGTCTCACCTATAGCAAACCTCTCTTTCAGCAAGACTTCTGAATCTGGGTTATGCAGCAGAGCCTGAAAAATGTTTGAAACATTGTCATATTGTACGCATTAAAATGTATGGAGCATAAGATGAATTTAAATTAACTTGTCTAATAACAGTATGACACAGCAACTATATGGCAGAGAATCAAATGAAATATTGCAGAATACATATTTGATATACCAAGTGTCATGCTCTATCTAAAAGGAGCACTATGTAAAATACTGTGAATCTCACCAAAATTTCTCAGAAATTTTTTTTTTCATTGGCAGTGGGCCTAGGCCTACCTCCATGAAATTCTCCATCAGAAAATAATTACTACTCAAAATACTCTATCCATCTTCTTTTATAAATAAACTGTGGAATCTTTAGCTGCAAAATGGTTGCTATTAGAAAGCATTCACATACTTCCAACCCCCCCCCCTCCCCGAAGATGCTACAATATGTAAGTGGATATCCTGCACCTCCAGTCAGATTGGCCATGAAAGATATCCACCAGCTCCGACGTATCACTGTGTAACCCTGATGTCTGGGTTTCTCAAAGCACTAAAATCATTTCTGCATCAATGATGAGTGAATACCTACTTTTTATGAATCTGTCCACAACCCCACAAATTCTTTACAAACAGGATTTATGCTAATCTAATTATAGAAATAAGGATCTTCATCCTCACTATTTACTAATTAGCTCCTATTATGTTTTCTTCTGGCCACTGTACTAAGTTATACATTTTCAATGGTATGAATTCAATTAGGATGCTGTCACAGATGTACACAAAGGAAAACGTTCCTGGATGGTGACACCTATAGTAATGTCTAAATGAAATTTTCAATTCTACTTTAGAGCAACCAGCATAATAAAATATAAACATACCTTATCTAAGATAGCCAACTTTCGCTCAGCTCTCACACGAGCACTGGCAGCTCCACCACCTCTGCGGTATGTTTTCTCAAACTGTGAAATCACATCCTGAAATTTACAATTAAAATTAAAATATTTATTCATTCATGAAAATGTAATACATTAAGGTGAGTAAGGAAGATTAAATTAAATGCATTCTAGCCATTATACACCATAATGTTTTTCAGTTCAATAATTACATGACTGGGGCATGTGGTAGCTTATCTGGTTGAGGCACTACGCTACAAGCCAGAACGTCATTGGTGCAGTTCCTGATCAGGTCACTGGATTTTTCGATTGACCCAGTCTTTCTGGCTGCACTATGGGCCCTGGGGTCGACTCAGCCTTTAAAAGAGATGAGTACGAGGAATCTTCCTGGGGGGTAAAGGGCAATCGGTGTATAAGGCTGACAATCTCGCTGCCATCTGTTAGCCAATTGTCTAGAAAATGTGGGAGCCTCAACATCTCACAACCTTATGGGCCTCCAGGGCCTGTTACATGGAGAACTTAACCTTTACAGAAAGATCAAATACAGGCATCTACCATAAAATACATAAATTATAAGTTTTCAATTCTGGTATGCTGAAATACATTTGTCTATGCTCTTCTTGTCCAGTGTGAGGTTCACAGGTGTAAGAAACAGTCTTATGTCTTGATGTGTCAACAGTAGCCTTTTAGACATGCTAAAACTGCCTATACTACTCACTGGAAAAATAAAACATTTATCCTGCACACTGGTGACAGCTTAGAACTACCAGCATTTTCAGTTATGCAATGATATTTGTTAAACAAACTGAATCTAACACTTCCACATTCACTTTAGAAATAGAATTAAACATAATCTCCCCTTCAAAGTCAGCTACAATAAGACTACGAAGTACATCACTCACAAAAAACAGTTTAACCCATGCAATATATTGCTTTAATCGGATGAATATAGTACTGTATATGTTGCATCTACTCAATGAAGCATCTCAATGGAAAAGCGATCTCAAAAACACATTCTGGCACTAAACCTGTCTACCACACTGCCTGCTTCTATAAGTGACAACATTTACATCTAAAGTAACATAACATTCACTAAAAGAGAATACCTGAAAGCGAACATATTTAAGCCAAAGTTCCACATTGGATGGCTGCTCAGTAAGGCTTCTGTTGTACTGTGCTGTCTTCTTAGACAATTCTTCTTCCAAGTGCATATCCCCTGAAAATTCACTGCTATCATTCAGCTGCTCCTTCTGAAAGTGAATTAATTTGATGTGTTAAACCTGAAACCACAATATACTGCTATCCTTAATCAAAATTACAAAAATTACTATTATTATTTATTATTATTTAGAGACAAATTCTGTTTCTGGCACACTGAAGAACCGTGACCTAAAGTCACTGACTTTCATAATTGTGCACAAATGTCTGAATGCTGGCAAGTGCCTAGAAGCATGAGCAGCAGCTTGGGTTTTAACTTCAGCAGGGTACAAATTCAAATACAAAAATTGTTATCAACAGCCAGACCTCAGACTGAGTGTTTAGCTGAGATAGAAATGTGAGGCCTGTAATACTGCAGCAGTAGTTCATAAGCAAACTCACAGGGTCTTTTCTACAAACAGTGCTGACTCTCATGCCCAGCTATGTCGACACAGCATTTCACATCTGATTACTATTAAAAGATGAAATAAACTTGTCATATGTTGTAAGAACACAGGAGGGGGCACCTCTTTTTCCTTCAAGCACATCTCACAGCACATAAATTTTGCTACATCTTCTGGAGATTATCCACAGGAATCAAAGCAACTATATGTATTATTTCATTCTGAACAGCTTCAGTGGTGAAAGAGGTAAGGTACAGGTAAAGGTGTCCCTGGGCTTATTTAATTAAGCACCATGCCATGAAGATATATGTGAAGTGGAAGTGTAGTTCCATCTTGGCACTAGATGGAAGTGAGCGATCAGCTTCATGTCCCAGTCACTTCTCCCTTGGGGAAAGAACCCCAGCATCCACTGTACTGAAGGCTGGGTGGGCCTCAGAGATGCTCTGGATGCTGTGAAACAGAGAAAAGTCCCTTGCCCCTGCCAGGAATCAGACCCTGGCCATCCAGCTCAAAGCCCACTGCTATACCAAATGAGCTATCTCACCTCAGTCAAAGGGTTATTCTTGCATTTTCCCCTTCAGGTTGTCCCAGAGATAAAAAACATAGTGACTATGATTAGGCTATCTAGGGGGCCAGAGTCAAATGCTGGACTGCTGATTATTCTGTTTTCAGACACCTCATGTATAGTGGCTCAGATTTATCTGCCAGTATGTACTGTAGCATTATCTCGCTGGGAATATCCAATCATCATTCTTTAGCTGCCAAGTGGCTGACAACATATCATTACTATACCAATCTGAATTCAATTTTCCAAAAAAATACTTAACCAATATTTGCCTTGCACTTACAGCACACCACACCCCAATTTCTACACCTCAGAATTGTGCCAGGCATCTCCTAAAACAACTCACCATCATTACTGCTTGAGCCAACTTGGTTGGAGAACTATCCCATATATTTCTACACGCTGTACCATAAAAATGAAGAAATATACCTTTTTTTAATGTAAGTCCAGTTTCAGCTGAACAACATGAAAAGATCCAGTCACTGATATGATTTTGCAAGGCAGGAGAGCAAAAATAAATGTTTCAGCATTACCAAAGGCACAGTGCACCATACTGCTCACATCCATGTCAAACATTAAACAACATAAAAAGATAATTATGAATGGGAAAGGTTCATGAAGATAACTGTGGCCTATTTGTAAGAACTAAGAGAGGACTAGGCATGCTCCAAGTCAATTCACCTCCAAACTAGAGACGACAATTTCACCACATTGCCAAAACACCCTGTCACAATCTATTACGTAAAATTAGAAATTTTTGACCCTCAAACCTAACAAATTTATTGCTTATATAATTTGTTCAGTTCCTAAACAGTTTCCTGGTGATATAATTATCACAACCTTTGCCTTAAGCTTGTTTCCATGAGCAACTGTGATGGTGTCTTCTGTGACACCAGATGTGCTCTCCTCCAAGATTTTGCTCAATTCCTGGAAGTGCGTAAAGTAACGATTCAGATGCTTCCTCTTCTTGGGTGATTTCCTGGCATTTGACCAACCCAATGAAGACCTGTGACAAACACTGTACCTGAAATATAAACAATTACATTTTCCCACTGAAGGAATTTGAAAATTCTTAACCAACAGTACTTAGTATAGCCTATATTTTGTCTTCATATACAGGAGAAGAACATGACTACAAGTGTCTTAAAACAAAACGCTGAGGAGAATAGAAAGAATTTTGTATCTGTAGTTTACCTGACATTAGAAACTCAGATTGCATAGCGACAAACAAGCGCAAGATAGTGAATGGTGAATGGGAAGGTTGTTGAAGGAAGGGGTTGTAACCTAACTTGAAGTACTATTCTGGAATTTACCTGGAAGGACTATGGAAAGTCATGGAAACCTGAAACAGGTCAGTTAAAGACATGGCTGAGACCTGAACCGACCACTTCCCAAACACTAGTCAGATGCATCATTACTACTTGAGGCAACTTGCTTAATAATAAAGTGAAACATCCACATTTTGGATATTTCTATTATACACCTCTAAGGGTTCTCTGTGTTAAGAAAGCATCAAGCAATGAAGCTGTATAAACTCAATCCTAGAAGAAAATTAGTGGTCAGTTTCATTCTGCTGCTACTTTGCCCTGGTACACAATGGACAGAAGCTCGGTAGACCCTAGAACTGGTCTAAACAAGATTGGTATCAGAAAAATCTTCACTCCTTCCAGAAATGTAATGACCATTCCAAAACTATTTAGCTCACAGCTTAGTTACTGTACTGACTGAACTATTCTGGCTCCAATGAGATATTCATATAAAATTCTTAAGTTGGAAAATCTGAATGAAAGACACCACCTACAAGATCCATGCATCAATAGGAGGATAATATTAAAGTGGAACTTACAAAAAAAAAGAATATCACAGTGTGGGCTACATTCACCTGGTTCAAGACAGGGGCCAGGGATGAACTGAAGCACCACTGTAGGATACATAGAAAATGAAAACTATCTTCTGCCTCTGATAAGCCATGAGTATGGAGAAGGGCTCATATTTTTTCTCCACTACCAGAATATTGGAAGAAGAATAAAGATAGAATGTACAAGTAAAAGGGAAGAGAAAGGAGGTACCACTACGAAGGTATGGAATGGGTAGATGAATAGAAGAATGCTGATGACAGAACTTATTTAACATGAAAGAGGAGAGGAATGATGATCAGATGGACAAATAAAAGAGCTGAGAAAGCAACAATGATAATGGGAGGGAAGTAGATAAACATATGAAAGGGATGAAGGAAAGGATGAAAAAAAAATTGTCCTGAACATCTCCGGTGGGTCACGTGTTAGTATTAATGTAACAGGAAGAAAATTGTAAATGTCATCATGAAAATCTTAGGTGCCACAGCTACCTGGCACCCAGACTTTGTGCATGCCTAATTAAACATTTACTGAATGTAACTCACAGAGGTATGGCTGGTCTAGCCAAAGTTGGAACCCTCAGATTCCCTCTCTCACATGTTTTATCTTCATAGAAAACTGAACTGTCTGCTGGAATACTAATATCACATTCTTCTTTCACCTTCCTAAAACACAGAACACAGACTGTATGTAACACAGCTGCACTCATACATTTTGAGATTTATTGGTATTTAGTTGCCACATACTGGCTAGAGCGATTTTTAGACTATTTGAGGACACCACTCAACTACACAAGTTATAAAAGTTTACAGAATCTGTGTGCAGATTTCAATGTGCATGAAATTTTCTTTCATGCATGTAATTTTTGAATCAGATAAGATGTAACAGAAAGTTTAAAACTACTTCCAGACCAAAGTCCATAATCAAGTACATAATGTCAGGCTCTTTGCCTAGTTAAATCAATCACAGTATTCCTCAACAGTAAAAAAAGTAAAGGTATTCCTGTAACAGGCCGTGTAAGCCCATAGGGTTGTGAGATGTTGAGGTTCCCACATTTTCTACACAATCGGCTCATAGATGGCAGTAAGGTTGCCGACCTTATGTGCTGGTCGCCCTTTACCCCCAAGAATATTCCTGGTACTCATTACTGTTGGAGGCTGAGTGAATCCCAGGGCAATAGTGCAGCTGGAAGGATTAGGTAAATTGAAAAAAATTCGCCTCATTGGGATTCAATCCCGCGACCTTCCAGCCTGTAGCATAGTGCCTCAACAAAATACACTACCGCATGCCTCGTATTCTTCAACAACGAAAGATAAGATCAAAATCCATGTATCACCTTAAACACCATAACAATAAGAATCTTGCATTCTTTCACTTTAATAAATATATATACTTTATCCTTTTCTACTAAAGTGTCAGGCTTTTATTTATATTTTAATCCTTTTATGTTTATTAAAAATACTCCTTTACTTGTTTTCCTAGTGTTAATGAATTTTGCTTTTAATTGAAATTTACTTGGATTTCTGTAGATTTCATCCTGGCATCTAAAAATACATAATTATTATCAGTCATTCACCTTGACTGCTTGTGATAACTCTTCAACTTCTTGTGGCATGAAGCCTTCCTCTCCTTATGATGCTCTGGGAGTTCTGTTTGCCTTTTTGCTGTAGAAGTCTCTGAGACTAGAGTCTGTTCTTTCTTTTCACCTGGCAGTGGAATTTGAGAGATTTCAACAGAAAAACTTGGATTTGTTAGCCACAATCTATCTGTAAAGGAAATAAAAAATATATATATATTAAACTCATTCAACACCAATGACTGTCACTAAAATTAATACTGATGTCCTTGTAACATGATGGCAAGTACAGTTGGCATGGCGTTTCTGTCACAGGCACTCACACATCTGTAGCTACACTCAAAAAAAAAAAAAAAAGTTAATCTCTTTCTATGAGATATTTCTATATATATCTAACAAATTTCAATTTAGTGAGACGTTATATTAGTTTAATTTTTGTTACATTTGAGTAGCATTTACTGAGGTCAAATAAAAAAAATGACTGAAATTTTATGATAAAGGAAATTACATCTTTCATTAGATTTACTACAGAAGTGTCTGCACAAAACAGGCCAATCATAATCCTTTCTGAAACTTCACCACATTGTTACCAACACCATCTACTCTCTCTGGATGCTACTACCATAGTCGATTAGCAGAATTAGACATATTTCAAGAATACCTATTTTGTTCAATTATTCCTTACTGCTGCCACCAACACCACCATCATCCTTTTTTGTACACGACTATTAAGACCTATTATGGCTACTATACAACAGAATCCTTCCATTTATTCAGAAGCCTTCCTACACTTCCTTTCCCTTTCGGTTGATATTTTCAGATCAATTTTACTTTCCCATATATGCAGTATATATGAGAGAATACTGTGATCATACAATGAATGAAACTCAGCATTTTGATGGGCTTACATGTTTTCACTCTGATTACAAAAGTGATTTTTAGAATGCTACGTGTCTGTCTGTGCATCTGTATGTATGGGTGTGTGCCTTACCAAAGACTGAATGGGTTGACAGATCTTATTCTTATTCTGAACTAGCGGTACCCGGCCACGCATTGCTGTGGCTCAGGCTGGTTAAATGGAAAAGAAAGAAAAGAGAAAGCCCACGTTTCTAATATGTTTAATTTCATAATGCTTGTGGGTATACAATATTTTTTGTTGTTCCATTGTCTGTGCAGATATAGAGATTGTCTGTTGTGCCGACTCTAGAACACGCAACATATAATTGTCCATGTGAGAAGCAACCCGTGTCTAGATCTAAACCACACAATTCTAAAGATTGGCCCTGAGCTTTGTTGATGGTGATTGCAAACGCCAACCGAATTGGGAATTGCAATCTCTTAAATTGAAATGGCACATCCGTTGGAATCATAGGAATGCGAGGAATGAGGACATCTTCACCTTTGAAAGGTCCTGTCAAGATTGTTGCTTCTATGACGTTGCTCAATAATTTTTTTACTGCAAGCCGCGTGCCGTTGCAAAGCTTTGGCTGGTTGATATTTCGCAACATGATAATTGGCACGCCTATTTTCAATTGCATCCCTGGCAGATCAAGTGAATTCAAAAATTCTGTTGGATAATTAACCACTTCATCTGCTTCCACAACAGTGTCGACGGACTTGTATGTGACTGCCTTGCATTGAATGTTAGACTGAATGATATTGTTAAGTTCGTAGACGTCTTTGTTCTTGGCCACAAGAATAGCTTGTTCACTCTGCCAATCGTGATTCTTATAATTAGTTTGAATATTGGGAAATACTTTTTCAACCAATTCTTCTTTTGACGTCACTAAATTGCAGAAGTTACGAGGCAATGAAATTCGTCCTGAGGTCAGATCAATCGGCACCTTTCCATTCCCAATTTCCAGCAATTGATGTTAGAATATCTCACCTGATCGATCGTTTTGCAGCTGGACACGCATATTTGTAGTTAATTTTAAAGTCTTTACGTGTTGCCACAAAGTAGAGTATTTCAGGCAAGCATTTATTTCGTCCGCTGGTGTCGATCGAAGAATTACAGGTAATGTTTGCCTGAAATGTCCTGCAAGCAATATTAATGCGTTCCCAAATGGTCTGATGTTTCCATGCAAATCTTGCAATGATCGACGAAGAGCCTCAAGTGATGTTTTGTGCGCCATTGTGCATTCATCCCAAACAATAAGTTTGCATTTCTGCAATACCTTTCCCATGCCTGATGCCTTGGAAATGTTGCATGTGGGAGTTTCAATGAATTGCATGTTCAATGGCAATTTCAAAGCGGAATGAGCAGTTCTTCCACCTGGTAGCAATGTTGCAGCTATTCCAGATGACACAAGAGCTAAGGCTATGTCATTTTTGGATCGAATTGCTGCCAGAATCAATCTAATTAGCAACGTTTTACCAGTTCCTCCTGGCGCATCTAAGAAGAAGAATTCTGCAACCCCGTTATTGACAGTTTGCATTATTTGATCGTAAATGCCTTTTCGCTTAAGCATTAGCTTAGGAATATTTGATTGCACATATGACAAAAGATCACCCATGTTGTAATGTTGTTCACGATGCAATTCTACACTGAATGAAGCAGCAGCAGGTCAATTCTGTGATGGCATTCCCAATTGATTGAGAACTTTGTTCACGATTTCTAAGCACAAATCTTCAATCATTATCAACGCTTCATTGTAGATTTCTGCTGTGAAATCTACGTTCATATTGGAATTTTCCTTCATGCAAATCCTTATCGACGTCGGCATCGGGTATTTCAGTGCATATTACATCGTCAATTTCGTATGAAGTGATTTTGTTATAGAGCCAGATTAGTATATGTGCGTGTGGCAATCCTCTTTTTTGCCATTCCACTGAGTACATCCAGCAGCGCACAGACCCAAACACTTCATGTTTTACCATGAAATCCATCAGCGATTTCAGCTTCTGTCTGAAAACACGTGCTGTGATGTCATGCCTATCCACCAGCAATTGCCCAGGAAGTAAGAGCTGTTGTATATCGTCCCAAGCTGGATTGCATGTGAATGTAATGAATAGGTCTGGATGCCCATAGTAATGAACATACGCAATAGCATCTTGAGCGTACTCATGCATATGACGTGGACTGCCTGTATAGGAAAATGGCAAAATGATTAGTCTTCCAATGTTAGTTGTATTACTGTCACTTACAACTGCAGCTCGCAATACCAGACTAACTTCTTCGGCGGTTAATTTCGGACTGCCTCCTTTGGCAGTTAATTTCAGACTGACTGCTCCTTGTTGAAGCTGGGCTATTTATACCTCGGCGGTTCTATACAATGCCTTCTGTTGTCTATCACCGGGGAAACACTGCTTTGTTGATTCCGCTATTCCTACACAACGACCCATCATTATTGCATTGTCTCTGTGGGAACGCTCCATGTATTTGTCGTAACCATGGAGATTCGATGTTCTCGACACAACGGCTCACTGTTGGGATTACAGTATCGCTATTGTTACTTCCTAGGCAATGGCCAACTGTTGGGGCTACAATACCGCTATTGTCGCTACCTATGCAACGGTCTGTTCTAGCATTACTATGGAAGTGACTCCTGGATTCCGAACATGTGACATGTTTTTACCTGTCACAGGTGTGACATCTACATAATAGGTATATAAAAACACACGCGTATTCGAATGCAACATTGTGTCAAAATTTCAAAGCAATCGGTGAAGAACTTCTGCGGATTTAAGACTTTGAACAAACGAACATTTACATTTTTATTTATATAGATTGAAGCGTTTATCTGTGCTGGGTCGGTGCCTTGTGAATCTGAACATTTCAGCTCAAAAAAATGTGCCCTTGAGACAGCTCCAAAATACAAAATGGTAATTTCATCGAAAATCCTTTAACACTTTTTATTAAATTTTGCTACTTTGTAAACACCACATCCCTAAACAAAAAACTGTATTTGTGGTATCTTCAATAAAATAACAGTACATGCACTAGGGGCACAAATGCAAAATGTCAATTTTCTCAAAATTGGCTTTGCCAGTCAGATGCATTTCTGTTCAGTATACAGCAACCAACGACAGTCTATCAAGCAATAATCAATTTAATTTTCAAGTTACTGCAGTCAAGGTTGATCATATATGAGAAAGTGTATGCAATATGTTGATACCACAAAGAAGGAAATACTAGTTAGAAGAATTATAAATGATTATAATATGATAAGAGTTTAAAATGAAATTAAGTAATGAAAAATGGGAACCAATTTATAATACTAATGATACTAACATTAGCTTTAATCAATTTTTAAATATATTTTTTATGAATCGTTTCCAATAACAAAAAGACAAAGACATAAACAGAAAACATGGATTACCACTGGCATAAAAATTTCTTGCAGAAACAAAAGGGTATTGTATGCATAAAAAAGCATAAAAATTAACAACCCTACAACAGTCACCTATTATAAGAACTACTGTAAAATATTAACGAGAGTTATAAACCTAGCCAAAAAGATGACATATGATAATCAAATAAAATATTCAAAAAATAGAACTAGAAGTAGATGGAAAATAATAAATAGTGAAGTACTAAAGAAAGGAAATAGAGAAAATATTCAAGCCATAAACATCAAAGGCAAAAAGAATACTAACCCAAAAACTACTGCAGAAACCTTCAATAAATACCTTAGTGATATAGCGGTCAACATACATAAACACATAAAGGAAAATAATATAAATGATAAACTTAAAGCTACAAATTATATGACATATTTGTCTGATGCTTTTGAGAGTCCATTACCGAATATAAACACTACAAAAACTACGAGTAGGGAAATAGAAAATATTATATGGTCCCTGAAATCTAGTAAAACCCATGGGTATGACAAAATCTCGAATAACATACTCAAAGCCTGTAAAATCTTAATTAGTGAACCTTCAAGTTACTTATGTAACAAAGTAATACATTTAGGAATTTTTCCAGATAGATGAAAATATGCTACAATAGTGCCTGTTTACAAAAAAGGTGACAAAAATATGAAATCAAATTATAGACCTATCTCCATTTTAACATCAATTAGTAAAATATTTGAGAAGGTAATGCATAATAGATTGCTAAAACATTTAAATGATAATAACATTTTAAGTAAACATCAGTTTGATTTCAAGGAAAACCAAGGAACTGAAAACGCAATCTTTGTCTTATTGCCAGAATATTAGATTCATTAAACAAAAAGATGCAAGTCTGTGGAATCTTTTGTGACCTACAAAAGGCATTTGACTGTGTCAGCAGTGAAGTATTATTGAACAAATTAAAGTTTTATGGAATAAAAGGAAACCAGTATGACCTATATAAGTCTTATCTATCGAATAGAAAACAAAGAACTACTATATTTAATGGGACAGAGAGTAGTAAAGTAAATTCTCGATGGGCTGAAGTAACCAATGGTGTCCCACAATGATCGATACTGGGACCACTATTGTTTATAATGTATATAAATGACCTGCCCAAGATTTTGGAGACAAAATGTATTCCCATTCTATTTGCAGATGATGCAAATTTTTTGATTGCACAAACAAATCCAATAAAATTTAAATATATAATAAATGAGGTATATAGTGTACTGGATTGATTTAAAAAAACTTAATGTCACTTAATACAACAAAAACATATTAGATAAATTTCACTACAAAAAATAAGGTGACAAGAGATATGGGAGACATAGGAGCTATTTTAACAAGTATGAATCACATAAAATTTCTTGGCTTAAATATCCAAAATGAGATAACCTGGAATAGGCACACAGATGAGATCATAAAGAAATTAAATACAGCTTGCTACATGATAAGAAACTTGAAACCAATGGTATCTACTAAAACTCTAAAAAGTGTTTATTACCCATATTTTCACTCTATCATGACATGTGGATTAATGTTTTGGGGCAATTCGTCACATGCCGAAAGAATATTTAAGTTACAAAAGAGAGCTATCAAAATAATAAAAGGAAATAGTTATAGAGAATCATGCAGAGAACACTGTAGAAACATGAATATACTTCCATTAAGATCACAGTATATATACTCCCTGTTAACATTTGTAGTAACAAATAGAGAAATGTTTGATATAAACAGGGATTATTATGAAATAAACACCAGGCATGATATGGATATGCATATGAACCAGGTAAACTTGGTGAAATATGGCAATGGAGTATTTCACATGGCTGTGAGGATGTACAATGCACTGCCCAATGAAATTAAAACAACCTTTAATAATATAAATGGTTGTAAACATAACTTAAAGGACTTTTTGTATACTAATTCATTTTATACACTGAGTGAATTTTTATTAAGAAATAATCATTGTACAAGTGCATAAGTATATGAGATGCTGAGTAGAATATTTAATGACTTTAATAACTAGAATACAATTATAATTATTTTAGTAGAATAATATATGATGTA